TACAAAATTATAATATTGATCAATATATTATAATAATTGAAAAACTATATTAAAAAAGAAATCAAAAAATATGCGCCCTCATAATTTTAAAAATGTCTTGTCAGTGTCTTTTTGGTATATGTTTTATAGCAACCACAAGGCCCCTTAATAATAAAAACTATTTTTTCATTTGAGACTTTATGACTTGTGTACTCCATAGGTTTAAAAAGTATACAATTTTAAAAATAAATCTATTACACTTAACTTATATACATCTATTTATAATTTAAAAACCAGATTTAATACTTATAACAAGAATATTGCATCAAAAAAATAAATAAATAAATACACAAATTATACATTCGTATAATAATATGGCACCAAATAAACATAAAAAAAGAGCTATTTATTTATTTTACTTAAACTTATTGGTATTATCAATTTTATTTTTCAATAAAAACTAAATAATTTATTTTATTGGAATTATATACAACAATAAAAAATAGCATAATATAATAATAAAATATATAATATTACTTTACTAATAGTATCGAATAAATATTTTATTTTTTATGAATATTACGTAGAAATATCATTTATCACACCTTTAGGTTATATTTTAAAAATATTCGAAGTGTATCATTGTACAATAAACAACATATCAATTTTATTGCAGTGAAAATGTAATGATTCAGTTTTGAAAAATGGTAGTCACTGTATGTATAATATATATTTAATTCTAGACCATTATTTAAAAAAAAAAAAACTAAAATAAATATAAATTAAAAAACTTTTTAAAATAATATGTTTATTCTGATTTTTCTTTTATTTGCATATATTTACCAATATTTTTGCCTTTGCACCTTAATTCATTGCACTAAGACACAAAGCAGGATCGAAGTATATTTTAAACTGTTAATCGGCTAAATAACAAAATCTCTATAAAAAGACGCATCATTTATTTTAAATTTTAAATTATTTAACTAGTATATAAATATACAATTCATATCTACGATAAACCTCATAATTTACATTTGCCGTTTATTAATTATATCACTGAATATCATGAATAGACGTATACGCTATGGATTTGCTATCTAGCTACATAACTAGATTACATAATGTTGAGTTACTGTATTCAATATTGATTATGTTAATATGATAATTACTTATTATGGTTATGTTCATCAATTTTCAAATTTAAAAACTCCGTTTTAGCAATGTTTTTTAACAAATCATTCACTATATTTATTATTTTTATAATTTCAAGCAAATTATAATCATCGCATAACTTGTTAACTCTCTAATATGCCGCGTAACCGCATATCGTGCATGATAAAACAGGCGTATTTTAGTAAATTTCATAGTTAATCCTTCAGGAAACGGGTTGGCTGGGAAAGGCATTATATTACACGCCGTTAGCATATTGCACTTAAAGCCGATTATCTCGTGTGTATATACCAAATAATCCGTCATTATTTCATACTTCATTAAACAGCATTATCACAAAAGCAAAATTATATTATTTGACAAATAAATAATTGGACCACAAGAGAGTATATTGATCGGACCTTGGCCATCCATGTAATAATCGTATTATCATAAAGTGTCCAGGCAGGTAGGGAAAAGTTACATTTCAATGGTGTGTGACTTTTTATTTTATTTATTAAATTTTTTACCTTTTCCATTTCAAAATAGTTTAAAAATTTGCTTGTATGAGTTATGACAGATAATTAATATAATTATATACACGGCGGTTCGATTAGGCAATTTAGGTACATTTATGTCCTAAAATAATATTTGCATTACAATTTATCGTTAATACAATTTAAAATACTTTAATAAATAATAAATCAAATTTTAATAATATAAATAAATATGTAGCTATATTAAATAGTACATATAAAAATACTGATGGTCCTAAATTTTAAGGAATACAAAGTCAAAAATCTTTCCTCTGCTAAACACAGTTAACACGCGTGAATTATTTAAAAATCAGTAAAAAGTTTGATGATAAGGTAAACAAAATTAAATCCAAAATAAAAAAAAATAAAAAAATTACCCCTCTAGACAGAACTCCTTCCGGAAAGCTAGTACCCACCACAAAAGTGGTCACGTTATTTATACACCGGGTGGCGAATGAATATTCATGCTATATATATATATATAAACTATTCAACTGACTAACGCTCGTGAATACCATCATCATCATAATACTATATATTATATAGTATATAATGTACATAAATATTTTTATTCGTAAAATAAAACCATACTAACTCGACCAAAAGACCTAAAACAATGTTTAACATGTGTTTTTTATCGTAAATCCTTAAAGGGATGTTTCGACATACCTAATCAGACTTAATTCCTTTTTTAAAGTCCTACCAGTTTCCTTGCAGAAGATATAGTAGGGATACTAGGAACTATATTTATTTCATGTATTACATTACGCTCGTATTAAAGTAATCCTGAGACGTTCGCATATTTTGTACACATATTACACACATGTATATATTAAATAAAAATAAAAATAAGTACTACGTATTGTCATAAAATATATATATATATAATCTAACTTAAATATTATTCTGAAATATCCTTTGAATTTTTCCAATTGATGACAATCATAATCAACAATAAAAAAAAAAAAAAAAAAAAATATTTTTATTAAATTAAAGTTAAATTTAAAATATTATATGTATAAATCCTCCGTCGATTGATTCACTTAGTAATAGTTATTTAAATAAATCTAATTTTAAATTCAAAAAATAAAGACTATTACTCTTTTGTACACTTAATTTCAAATGGGTGACTATAAGGGTGTGTTAAATTTGAATTTCTGAACAATTCTGAGCAAAGACGGCCTATATCACAAATTATATTTCGTAAATAGCTAAAAAAATAGTTGAAATATAATAAAAATAATAACAGTCAATAAAAAAAAAAATTAAAAATTATCTTAGAGTTATTTACGTTTTAATAAAAACAAAAAATAAAAATCAACTTGATCAAAAATTGATTTAACATAAATATTTCCGTTTTGTTTTATTTTTCCTAAATATTAAGTACCAACTTATAAGAAAATTTTTATTTTTGATCTCTCTAAAATTTTTACTAAATCAAATTTTTAAAGAGAACAATCTCTAAGGTTAAAAATTGAAGATTTTTTACTGCTCCAAAAAGTGATAACAGACAAAAAAACACACATCGATAAATTTATCGTTTTTCTCAAAATCTAAAAGAAATATCTTTGATATTTTTAATGATGTATACATTTTATAGAACTTTATAGCTGCATCAATAAAATTAACATAGAATTATTAAATCTAATTAAACAACTTAAAAATAAAATAAAATTATCTACATGATAGTATATATATTATTTTAAAACATGCAATAATATTTTAAAACTTTTACCAAATTTTTATCTTTGAGGTTTACCTTTAACCAGTATGACTTTTATAATTATCATAGGTAATCATATCTTACCTAAGGATTTAAGTCATATTACTCTCATGTGATAATTTAGTATTTGTAACTTGATTATCTATTATTGCATAAAATCAAATTTTAACACAGAATAAAAAATAAAACTTGCATATATTGCGAACGAATTTTATTATCATATGAAAATATTAAAGATAAACTTAAGTCTACAAAAATAAATATGGAAAAAATGTATGATGTTTAATTTTAAAAGATACCTATAACAAAATAATTACAACCCTTTTTAGTATGTAGATTTCAGAAAGAAATATGCGTAAATGGAAATTACTTGATGAATAAATGAATATAAGCTGAATATTTAATAATATGAATAATAAATGAGAAAAGAATGAATACAACACATATTTTTAATTAGTTAAATTAGTTCAAAACATATTACTAAACTGTTTTACACATCACATATTTTTATTGTTTTCGCCTAATATTAAATCGATTATTACATTTTTGCATTATTCAATTATTTTACAATATATTGACTAAATTTTACTTACAATAATATAATATATATAATATATAATTTTGATAACTCCTAATTTTACTAGGATTAAATCATACTTTTCAGTTAATTAATTTTTATTTTAGTGAAACGTAATACTTTTTTTTCATAATACAACTGGCATTTACTTATTGAAATCATAATAATAATTCAAAATAGCTATAACACTGAAGAAATTTTATGAAAAATAAAAAAATTGTAATTACTTTAAAATTTTAATACATATTGTAATCGATTGTAAATTATTCAATTTAATTTATTAATTAATTATTGATTGATATTATCACGCTTTTATGTTGTATTGTATTCCCTGATAAATAATAATAGTCATCACAGTTACTATACAATAGCATTTGTGTCATACAAATTAACGTTATTTCTGATAGATTAAAGGAAAAAGTTATTTAAATCAATAATCAAACATTATTAAATGTTTTTTTTAAAACTCAAATAATATAATAAAAAAAAAAAGCGACGTAAAGATTTATATTACAATGATAGACAATGAATTAGTGTAATATTATACAGATAGGATGTGTATTAATATTAAATAATTTGATATTCAATGATAGGTACATCATAGCTATATTGCATAATACGTAAGTATATAGTTACCTAGGGGTATTTATTTATTTATTTATTTATTTTTTGTATTTGTTTTACCTCGGAATCGTAAATACTATACAGAATCGTGCGATTGCTTTACTCTTACTGTTTACTTATCAGTTCAATCATAGATTTATTTTTAATTATTTATTTATTATTTTTTATTTATTTTTTAATACCCTGAAATTCGAGTTACCGAAGTATTCCCGTTACCGTTTGAACGAGCAATTTTACTATTCACGTGTACTGACACAATGACTCGACAACGGGAAATGGATACACAATAACAACGGTTTTAAAGCTCGTACCGCGAAAGTGGTATAGGTACGAGTATTTATAGGTAAACGTGCGGGGTCGTGATTATAATATTATCTTATGATTATTTGACGAGAACATCGCGGACACTGACCTGGTGGCGAGGCCGACAGTGCCAACTCGCAGAGCAATCCGACCGTGACGAACACTTTGCACCACATTGGAAGTGCGCGGCGTCCACGTGGCTTATTACCATTCATCGTCGCATCGCAGTCCGCGGGCCAAGGAATTAAAAAAGGAAAAATGTTGTTAAACGATAACGTTGCAAGCTGCAGACGGTCACAACAACGTGCACGCCTCGAGAACTCGCGCGATAAAGTGACGCGATCGTCGTCGTGGTCGTTGGCGTCGGCGGCGTGCGGTCGGCCACGGGACGGCGTACAGTCTGCGAGGTCCCCGCGGCGGCACGCGACTAACAGGCCCGCGACCGTGGCGGTCCGGAGGCGATGTCCTCTCCTCCTCCTCCCCTAGCGCGCACTACCGCAGAAGAGACCGCCACGGGCCGTACGTGTCGCCCCACCGGCGGCTAAACCAATTACAGGCGACAAACGCGGTGCGCAAACGTTGCGTGGGCGTGGCCTACGACTTAGAAGCCACGACGGATGCCGGTGGACAACGAGCGCGCGCGCGCGCGTGTGTGTGTGCGTGTGGGTGTGAGTGCTTGTATGTGTTTGTGTGTGTGTGTGTGTGTGTGTGTGTGTGTGTGTGTGTGTGTGTGTGTGTGTGTGTGTGTGTGTGTGCGTGTGTGCGTGTTTATGATTTCGTGGACGCGCGGCAAAAAGACAAATTGACACTGTGCGTGGTGGCCGGCGGGTGAAAAAAAAATATGCAAAAATTCGAGATAAACAAACATGAAAAAAAAAAAATTCAAAACACCACTGGTTTCAAGTCCTGTTTCGTATATAGTCTTTGTCGCCATTTCGTAACCGTATCTCGTTTTTTGAACGCTTATTAATGTGTTTATTTATTATTATTATTATTATTATTATTATTGTAATTTTTTTTCATTTTCTACCACGCCATGACACCTGACGAAAAAAATTAATATCCTGTCAACCTTCGTGAGCTTGTTTGGTGTTGAAAAAGAAAGAAAGACAACTTAATCAGTGTTTAATCAAGATGCATTCATTTTAAATGACGTTAAAATTAAAATCACGTAACAAAATAAATACTATTAGGTACCGCCTATTATACGTATATATATATATATATGTTCTGAAAATATATTATATTAACAATATATCAATACATCAAATAAAATTAACTAATTTAAAACTAACTAGTATCTTAATAACTGTAATCATAGTAATTTAATGAAACGATAAATGGTAAAAATAGATCGTGAAAAAACCTAATTTTATTTCATAATTTGCAAAATATTTGAACTATACTTAGGTTACTACGATATAATCGATTTATATATATTTATGCGGAAGTATAGGATAATAGATAAACTATGTAATTTAATTATTATGTTACATATTCTTTCTCAAATGAAATAAATAAAACTCGAGTTGAGTTTTGATATAAGAGTAACTTAAGCAAATAATAAAATTAAGACAATGAATTTAGAATAAACAAAAAATACGTATAGTAAAAATAGATAATTTAAAAATGTATTCATGAAAACATATTATATATAAATCTAAAAATATAAACAATAAACAAGCATTTTATTTAAAAATAAAAACAAATACAAATACAATAAATTAAAGTTAAACGAAAAATATTCAAAAATGTACTATATATAATTTATAATGGATACACCATAAAACTACTTGACAGTTGACAATCATAAAAATGTTAGGTATGCAAAAGGAAAACAAGGAAAATAAATCCGCTACCCTATGGTCCATTAAACCATTTGACATTATAATATGTAAAAAAAATATGAAATTACGGTTTAGCATATCATAATAAACTTAAGCTAAAAATAAAAGTTAACAACTTCTTTTATAAAAACAAGTAAGAAGCATTCGCATTTATTCATGAAGGATCAAGTGTCATAATTAATCAAATAGGTATTCTTAAAAAAAAAAAAAAATCAAAAAATCTAGACGAAAGCCATAAATATTTTACAGAGGTACAGTTATATGACTCTTTTCATAGTAATACAATAAAATTATAAATATGTTTAGGTATATTTACTAGTATCAATAACTAAACTAATTATAACATAAAAAACTAGTAAATTATTCGAAATGCAAGAAGTTGGACTTAAACTACAGAATTAAAAGCAACAAGAAACTTACAAAATATTTATTTTTAACTTCCATTAAAGAGTTCCATAGAACCATTATAGTTCAAAATTGAGTAAATTGAATTCGAAAATTAATATTTTAACAAATTTTTTTTGAAAATTTTCCTAGAGTGTCATCATAAATGTAAACCGATAGGCGATAAAGTAATAGATACCAATGTATTTTAAGTGCGTATACCTAGGTACATAAAGTTAACATTTGATTAAAACTTATCTTTCTAAAATAATAAGCTAATAACCAATAAACTAATTGCAATAATTATTAATTTATAATAAATCATCCCTCGTGTTAAAAATAGTAGTAATTGTTTATGGTGTTAAATAAAAACTAAAGGTCTTGTTTATAGAATAAATGTTGATTAGATCTTTTTATTATAACTTCATTGTAAAAGTTTCACAAAAATATATTCACTCTTTTGTTACCTTACAATAAATTATACTTCACTTTTAAAAGTTTTAGCTATATAAATTACATAGGTATTATCTAACTTCAGAAGTACATTCTGCGAGAGAAGAGACTTAAATATTCAACAGCTGTATTATAAATATATATATATATATATATATTCAATAGCTGTACCTAACCTGTATAGATAATTTACTTAATAATAAGTAATAACACATATATTATGTAATTATAACACTTATCTGTAATATGTATATTTATTTTTAGTTTTTCTCGTACTAGTATTTAATAATTATTATAAATAAGATGTCAATAACTTTTGCTATGTTATTTTCTACACATAATAATACTTAATTTGATTAACTATATAAATTTATATTATATTATAAATTGTAATACATAATAAAGGAACATTTTTCATCCTTTATTAAAATTACCACTTAAGTTTTTCATTATTAATAAATTGTAATTACCTACTATATTTATTGAATATTTTTGTATGAGTTATTTAACTAAAGTAAAAAATGTATAAAGTAAAAACCATTTTATATTCTTAGTATATTTTTAATTTGATCATAAAATATAATTTATTCATTAATGAATAATAAATTAGATTTATAACTATTATTTTATTTAAAAATAAAAATTTAATTTATAATCATTTACAAACTTCTAAATTCTAATAACATTATTATACTTGATAGCTACATTAATCAACCAAATACCAATTAATAAGTGCCATTTACTCGAGAGAGAAGCATCTTTTTACATTTTAGCTATTTTAAAAAAACTTATATTTTAAAAATTGGAAGCATATAGTATTTAAATAATACTATTTTATGTTCAAACAGTTAAATGAAGAAAGTTACATTTCAGCCAAGACAATGATACCTTATTGTCCAAATTTAATAAAAATATAAATGTTTCATTGCCACTTTTATCACTAATAAAATAATAAAATATTATACATATATATGTGTGTGTGTGTGTGTGTATATCGTCAAAAAAGCAGTATAGTAAAGAACATTTATAAATATTTTATAACAAAATTATAAATTATTATTTTAACAGAAAATTGTTGATCTAAAATTATTTTCATCAGAATCATAGGGGAAATCAAAAGTATTTTACCCCATTACAAAAGGTTAATAATCTATTAACATATTATAAGCTTGTTAAGCAATCCATGATTATTTATCGAGATAGTTATTAGATAAGCAATGACTTATTTTTATAGTTAATAAAAAAGTTAAAAATCATAAAATTTTTCACACAATAGCTTGTAATAATTTAAAAGAACGTTATAATATTTATATATATATCGGGGTTCGATTAAAGTCTTTAAATTAATCACAAATCAGTATATTACCTTTCTTCTTCTAACAGCGACTTCTCTATTGATGTTTTGAGTACGTTGTAAGATAACCAGTGTGCATTAAATAATTACAAAACTTAATTTAAGTAAACTTATTAACTTTATTACAATTTTTTCAATACATAAATTATTTCATATATATTTGATTTTAACTATTAACAACTTCAACACTTACGTCTTCTTGTATATCCAATCTGCGTAGTCTTTTAATTTCGCTTATAATCGTCTATACAAAAAGATGGTAAGGACACTGTACTGTGACCGGTGGTGACAGGCATTTTTATAATTAATATCCTGTATATGTGTGCGTGTGTATGTGTGTTATCTATCGTCCTTATAATTTTATCTTATTTTAATATTAACAGCTTATAACTATAGGTTATCATAATTATTTTAAATTATTTTATTACACTGTATTTAAATATTTAATTTTAATTATATATGATTACTTAGACACACATCATTACAACCTCTAGATTAATTATGTACAGGTGCTAATTATAATTTATAATATATACATACTAGTTCATATCCATTAATCGTAACCATAAACTTAAAAATTGATGAAAACTATTAAGAACTAAGATAGTATTTTTACTATCTTTTTGTATCTAATTTATGTAGGTAATTTATTTTAATATTAATTTCATAAAAATTTATATTTGTATTAAAATTTAACTAATAATTATTATTAGTCCAACGTCAAACTTGCAGCCAGACAATAACAATGTTTTCTTATGGCAATATGGATTTTTAATTTTAATACAGTACATTATAATATATATTATAATTGATACAATTTATATTTTTTAAATTTTAATCAATATAAATTTAAAATATACGATCAAGTATTATTGAAAAACTTAATAGCCGAGGTAAAATCTTTTAACGGTATGTACTTCGTTCAGTTACGTATTTGCTGTTTATCTACGCCTTGTATTGACACATTTGTATTATAATTCTGATAATTGAATAGAAATAAAAATTATAAAATTGTGTTCTTAAATTGTATGCTTATTGTTTCAGACTTTCAAAATGTTATAACTTCATTAACTAAAATTAAATATGATTTAACTGCATTAAGTCACACAGTAAATGCATCAAACATGATTTTGGAGAGTGGAGGTACATTAATTTCTTCAAACCTACCACACATTTCAGAATTATTCTTGATGAAATTTTTCCAATAAAGTCAATTAACGAACTTGAGGATTTAGAACAAAATTGATTTAGATAAACAGTTCAGATTGAATATAGTATGTTGACTTTATAGACGAGTGTCATAAAATATTTTTGTTAATTTTGTATATTTGACTTTTAATGAACTCAATTATGGTACTTTGTAGATCTAAATAACATTGTTAGTTGGTTCAAAAGTGTTGGTGACA